AAGGAACTTCTAATTTTATAGTAAGGAATTTTTAACGTGATTTATTTATATGGGAAGTAGGGTATGGACTATGCACATCCATATTTCAAAAACAGGACCTATATTTTCCATACATTATAATGTATTTTAAACTGTTACTTTGCTAGGCTGAAGATAGTACCTATTGCTACTCTGAAAATATTGTTCACAGAAAAAATTCTGCTCTGTTCTAAATCCTCTGTTCTGTTTCTTCTACCTTATACAAATTAATTAGTGGTTTTTTTAAGTGGGAGGCACTTTTAAATTTGAATAAATTAGAAATTAGTTTAAAATTGAATAGGAGGTATTAAAAAACTCTACCTGACTGTAGTTCATCTTGTTCTGTTTTGCCTGTAGGATATCTGGTGTATCTGGCATCACATGGACCTGAGTTTTATCCTTCTCCCAAGCTTCAGTATAAGCATGCTAGTGAAAAAATAACATCAGTTGTGTTAATACAAATGACAAAGAATAGCTCTTTCAGGGTTTTCACCTCTCCACCTGCACACTTTGGATATGGATAGGTAAAAAGATGAAGGTGATTCCTTTTACTATGTAATGACCTAATCCAGAATCAGCTGAATTAAGATCCAGCCCAGCTATCAAGATCTTCAGAGGCAGTAACTTCTCTACATGAATGAGGAGAATAGAGGGTGGAGAGGCAGCAATGGAAAAAATAGGAAAAGATCTATTTAAGCAATGCTATTTGTCAGGAACTGAGGGTTTCACAAAGAACAGAAATACAAAAGGGGAACCTGTAAGTGACAGCAGTTTTTCCCAAACTAATACATAAAGATGGTTACAGAGACTTACAGAGTGTATATTGAAATGGATCATATGAGTGTTTGCCTAATTTCCCCATAAATACTCACTTTATTCATTATATTTGCATTCTGCTTTGCAAGGACCAAGTCCATGGCATCAGTCTGTTTTGTGAAGGGGAACAGGCTGGGATGCTGGCGGTACTTCTGATCACTTGCAATTGCTGTGGCTTTCTTAGATTTCTCTACATCCAGAGACCCAGCAGGACTCCAGCCAATGCCCTTGAACCACTCGTTGTAATCCTGCTTGTACTCATTCTGCCAAACAGGACAGAGAAGGAAGGTTTGCAATTCACCAAAGGCTCATACACAATCATTCTGTTGTTTCCAAACCACTGCCATAAGGAGAAAGCAGGGGAAAAGTCCCCACTGTGACTGACAGAAACTCACATCACTCTGTATCTGATTCATGTTCCTGTACAGTTCCAAACTCATGGCATCTGGCAGAAGCATGTACTGGTGAATGAGTCGCTTGTAGTTGGTGTTGGTGACGCGATCCTGGGCCTCCTTGGCTGCCACCACGCTGAATGAGTCTGAAGGCATCTGGTAATGAGTCTTGCTCATCTCATAGGCTTTCTTGTACTCACGGTCAGACTGCATCTTAGCCACTTGCATATAATGGACAAGTTTGGGATCATCCTGAAGGCTGCGGAAGCCTACAAGTTTTCCCTTGTCTTTTTCATATCCTAACTTGTATTTATACTGTAAAGAGAATAGAGACAGATTTATTTATGTTTCATTTATTTAATCAGCAATATTTATCTCATAAGGAAAAAAAAAATCTCTAAAACTTAGATTAAAATAGTGTTTTAACATTGTTAAGAGAACATCACAAAGCATGTAGAGATGGGGTCTTTGGGTGCACTCTAAAGCAAAACACATCTAGTGTCCCTTTTTAAAAGCAGTACATTTCAAACACTTTCTTAATAAATTACACTTCCTTAGAAGACTTTGTCCTGCTCCTGCACAAGGTGCAGTGTAAGTTGAAGTTCAATTGCTCTCTAATCTCACTGTAAGTGACTCAATGCAAATATGAAATATAGTGGCAGAAAGCAAAAGGCAAAACAACAGACACCAGTTCTATGGGAAAAGTGCTCTTTCTATTCCTTTCCCACTGTAGTAATATAGTACTGGCTCTAAGATGAGCTCTCACAAACACAAGGACCAGAGCACATTAACCCACACATTTCTCTGTTACCACTGCTATCTTGTTTCCAGTATTCAGCTTGGGTAGCTATTTTTATGGTAGTCTGCACCATACTTGGAATACTTAAGTCCATACCTGAAGATTAACCATTAAATTGAACATCTAATAATTCTATTAGGTTCAGTTGTTCAAATGAAGACAAAATTCCATAGACTTCCCAAGATCTTTTGCATTTGTTTTTACTAAAAATGGCAACATTACAAAGTCTTAACCCCTTCCTCAGTCTCTAATCAACAAAATACACAGAACAAGTATCCATTCCTTTTTCTTTCACTGCTTATTGCTCAGAGAGAACTCAGAATGGAGTTATCTTCCCCTCAGCTGAGAGCAGTGGCAGAGGAAATAAGACTTTGCAGTGGCTTCAACATTCCCAACGTTGTAAAAAAAATAATAATAATTTAAAAAGAATGTGATGGGCTACGTAACGTCCTTAAGCCCTAACTTCACTCCTCTCTTGGGCTGGAGTTGTCCCTGCCACAGCAAATCCATCATCACTGATCCACAAAGGAGTTCAGAACAGCCCTGACTCTAGAAGCTTTAATTTTTTGCACCAAGAAATGTAATGGGACTTTCACCAAAGGAATGAAGATAACTGTAACACAGCAGCAAAACTATTTAAGTCCATGTCTGTTCTTTTCAAATATTTCTAAGAACTATCTCTGAACATTCTGTCTAAACTGCAAATATACCACATACGTTTATAAAGTATCCAAGCACCATGACATTGAGAAATGAACTTATTCTTTTTCTCTAAGACTCCTTCATAAATCTCCTCATCTCTCTATAAAGCAACTGTTCTCTAAGACTGATAGAAAAAATAGGCTGGAATTACTTACAAGGAAGAGAATAATCCTTATCTAATTGGGATTTAAAATTGAATTGTGTCAAGAATTGAATGTTTTACAATATTTGAAATGGGTATTTTTTCCATTCAAGAACTTACATCACTAGCAATATCCCTAGAAGCTTTGGCAGCTTTAATAGGGATGGCATCAGCTCTGAGATCATACCCTTTCTTCCTAGACTCTTCAAATTTATGTCTGTACATTTTCTGTGAAAAGAGAGAAAAGAAACATTCTTTGAAAGAGCAAAAAGACATGAAACTCAATTAATTTTCTATGATAAATTGAAACACAGAGCATTCATCTGTTTAGCACTGCCTGAACAGTTGTCTAAGACACTCAGAAAGATTTATATTCCCTCAAAATTGACTTACATGAACACTTCATAACCTCACTATTAATAGTATGGCTTTTTCTTGGCAACTTTAGTTTTGGGGAAGGAAGTGGAGAAAAGTAAAATGAATAGCTCTTTCCAAAATGGCAACAGGTTAGCAAAGTGAGAATTAGGGAGACTTTCATATGCTGTCATCTCACTTATTCCTAAGAAAAAGAGCAACAGCTTGGTCTTACAAACAGTACTCACATCACTTAAATTAAATGCATTAGCTTTTGCTAAAGCAATCTGTGGAATATCTGGTGTGATATGAACTTTCTTCTTGTCTTCTTCCCAGGCTTGTTTGTACTTGTGCTGGAAGGATAGAAGCATGATGTCAGCATAACAAAAATATTAAATAAAACAATGTAAAACAGTATTTCCTACATGAAAGATAAGCTTTACAATGATGCAACTACTAACACAGTAGGAACATTTGTCTGTTTATTTTAGCACTTAAGGGCAGAATGATGATTACATCAGGTAAAGTTTTTTTCTTACTTCTTCTGCAAACTTTAATGAATTTTGATGAACACTTTCTTACCTCATCCATGATTTTAGCATTGTTTAAAGCTAAGACCATGTTCATGGAATCCATAGGAACAGAATACTTCAGCTTGTCTGGGTGCTGGCGATACTTCTTTTCACTAACAATTTCCATTGCTTTTTTGTTCTTCTCAGCTTCCAAGGAGCCCAGTGGTACCCACCCAACACCCTTCATGGTTTCATCATATTCTGCTTTGTATTGATTCTGGAAGCAGAAAGAGAAGTAAATAATCAGATGCACATAAAAGTCTGTAAATCATGGCACCTTCTTCAGTCTTTAGTGAATATTGGATTTTGAATGCACTTGAATAGAGAGTCTCAGATGCATTCAAGGTTTGTTTAGAAACACATTTTTTATTACTCTGCCTTTCATACAGTGCTCAGATCCCCCTTATGATTTCTATAGATTGCTCACATGACATTACATGCGAAGGCCCTCTTGAAGAGGAGGATTTTCTTGAACCATGATATTGAGAAAAAAAGGCCATCTTCTCTATACATTAACTGTCCCAGAAAATCTGATAATACAGCTACTCAGCTGGTTTTCCTTTCTTCTGAAGAGGTAACTTTTTTTGAAGTACAAGGTAAAGCCATTAAGGTTTTATTGTCTTATCCTGCACACAAGTACTACTCCAGAAGACCCTGATGGGAAATGTAACCAGTAATCATTCAATTTGTTGTACACATAAAATCACTTATTTCTGAGCTCAAATTCTTTAGCAATGGGTGTAATTTAATACTTTAGAGTCTTATAAAAATCACAATCGTTATCATTGCTAAGGGTCTTATTTTATTTACTACATTTTAGCATGTAATTGAACTAATTTTGCCAAGAAAATAGTAATGTTTATCTTCCAGTATGCTTTCATAAACTAAGCATTGTGTTTGGAATTCAAAGTATGAAGAATCTTACTTACATCACTTTGTATCTGCATCATGTTTTTGGCTAGTTCAAGACTCATGGCATCAGGCAGAACATTGTAGGTATGGATCAGGTTTTTGTAGTTTGCGTTGGTCACCACTTCCTGGGCTTTCTTGGCTGCCACAACGCTGACCATGTCCACTGGAGTGTGGAAATTAGTCTTTGCCTTCTCATAATCTTTTTTGTACTCACGATCAGATTGCATCTTAGCCACCTGCATGAAGTGCACCAGCTTGGGGTCGTCCTCCAGGCTGCGGAACCCGATGTGCTTTCCTTTCGCTTTTTCGTAGGCGAGTTTGTACTTATACTGAGAGCAGGGAGGGGAAAGAGCAGCAAAAACTGACATTAGGAAGAAAAAATGCACTGGGAAGCTCCATTTCATCTCTGAAAAGGTAGAAACTATTTGTTCTTTTTCGCCATAGGACCTCAGGTTTAGTCATCTAAACATACTCAGAAAATAACCTAGTGAACACAGGCACATAAAGCTCAGCGTCTTGCTGAAAAAAAGAGAAAAAAATGACACAAAATAACACCATTCAGTGTTATTCCACTGGAGAGCAAGTACTGCAAGGGTTATCCCACCAACCATGTCACTGACACCTCGATGTTATACACATTTGTGTATAACAGAGCAGCCTGAAAACATTCTGACCATCTCTGTAGCTACTTTGAGGACTATCGGGCGTTCAGACTTACATCACTTGCAATGTCTCTGGATGCCTTGGCTGCTTTTATTGGAATAGCATCTGGCTTCAGGTCATAACCTTTCTTCTTGTCTTCCTCCCATCCAGCTTTGTAAAGTTTCTGATTTAAAATGCAAAAGAGAGCAGGTTCTCTATTATGAAGGCAGAAATACTGAAGTGTCCTAGATCTGAATTTAAATATTTTGTAAAAAAAAAGACAGAACAATGATACTAATTGATGGTCTGTGCCACAGGCACTGAGTGCTCACTGTGAGCAGGGGAACTCACATTGCTCATTGTGATCTGGTTCACTCTAGACTGCAGAATTTCTGGAGTATCTGGCATAACATGAATGCTGGTCTTCTCTTTGTTCCACTTATCAGTGTAGAGCCTCTGCAATTACAAAGTAATAGCACTGAAAAGGCATTGCACTCATAAAAAAGAGCTTGCTTTTGCTTTGTTTGTTTGCAATAAATTACATTTTACAGCACAGCAAAGTTCCATAAACACTACAAATAATCTTCACAAGTGTAACTGCCAAGAGGCCAAACAATATTCTTCTTTTTTCTTTAGTATTTTACTTGGGAAATTTGCAAAGTATGTTTTGACAACTAACAAGTATTGAAACTGAAAACCTTCAACCTGCATTTTTCTCTGCTTTAATGCAAAGCATTTGAATTTAATTTTATTTTCAAACTCCCTCTTTTCATGGCAAACATGGAATAAGGATCAGCAGCATCCCATCTATCTCAGGACAAATCTAAAGAGCTCAGCTTGTCCAGGAAACTTTTATAAAACTGATGGAATTTCAGTGTTAGTTCAGCTCACTGATTATGAATACTACTCTCTGCAGAGCAACAGTTACCAAAGCACCATAAATCTGGAGAAGATATCTTAAATCACATACACAAAAGAGAAATATTTAATCTTTATAAACAGAAAATGAAATTCCTCTAATTATGAATCCAATCTGAAGCTTCCATCACCTCTTAGAGTTCAGTCTTGACCAAGCAAACCACCATACCCATTGGAAATGTTCATGACTTCAACAGGAATTCAGGAGTTTGGCAAGACAAAGACTCAACCTCTGGCTCAGCCATGAGAATTTGAGCAAATTCTCACCTTATTCATGGTCTTGGCATTTTGCTTGGCTAGCACTTGCTCCATGGCATCCGTGGTGATAGAATACTTCAGTTTGTCTGGGTGCTGTCGATATTTCTTTTCACTGAGGATCTCTGTAGCTTTTTTGGCCTTTTCTACATCCAGAGACTGAATTGGTACCCAGCCAACTCCTCTCAACCAGTTATTAAAGTCTGCTTTGTACACGTTCTTTTAAAATAATAAACAAGGAAAACCACAGTGAGACAAGAAAAATTAGAAGGCCCGTGAACATAAAAACAAGTAAGGCTTTAAAACTTCCAGTCATTCATTTTTTAAGGAAAAAACTGCTATTGTTTTCCAAATTCTTAGTATAACATGAAAAACTATTGATGTGTTAGGGATAAATAAATCCTTTTTACTAAAACAATGTGTAGAAATCACACTACAAACCAAATGTACAGAATTTAGAACAAATTTTGAGGGGGAAATATGGAAAAATTACAAAAATTATTATAGTTTTAAAATTACTCTCTTTGTTAGTAGACTCAGTTTGCAGTAGAATTAATTCATAGAAACTTTTTCAACAACTCCTACTTATTGGCCTGGTTCTGCACAATCTTGAATAGACCACGTTCCTATTTAATCATACTTTATAACACAGCTTTTACAACAGGTAAAGGTTCAAAAATGCTGCAAAAATAAAACCTGTTCCTGAACTGCAGAGCTGGAGGTGGCAGGGAGAATATCAGAGTCTGAGGAGCAGATCACATATTTCCATAGCATGTGCACATAGGTTAAATTTGTCCCCAAAGACCATGCTTCTCTCCTTGCAAACATCCAGAGTTAGACAGCCAAGCAGGCTCAGGCAGCTCTGCAAGGCTGGATGAAAATGAAAAGGGGAAGCAAAAAACCTGAGACAAAATTTTTTTGGTCTAAAGGTAGATCCTCTGTCTGATGGCCAATGGGAACATGCACATTATCCTCTCCAAACCATGCTTAGAATCTGAAGAACACTTTCAGTCAGATTTTTAAGGTTCTTGGGAATTTCAGTTTTGTCAAAGGGCTGTTAAATAATGCAGATTAAACTAAATAGTTTCTGGAAAAACAAGGAGTTATAGTTACACTATATAAAAAAAAACTGAATCAAGTCACAGAACTTAATAGAAACTACTTTTTTTTGAGTTCTTATCATGCATGGTATGTGCATCTGTTGGAGGATAAAGGCAGGATGGAAAAGTTAACATTATATCTCAAATCCCTAGGTACAGTGCAAACACACATTATGTATATTTTCAGTAACTTAAACAAAAATCAGAATTTAAACTCTGTGCATAGCCTCTCCTCTCTGACAATGTGCCATTACAATAGCACACTGTCATTACAAACTCAACTACAAAAATACACAAATTAGGAAAACATGTTCATTGTCTGAGAATCATCCAAATGTGTAGAGATACAAAGAAAGATGATACTTGCTAAGCAAGTTCCCTAGAATAATATTTGATATTATTTGGAATATACAGGGTTCCAGACCAGACTTTTACATCTTGATCTACTGTTACTCCAATATAGTTAATTTTTTAGCCTTAAAAGCTTAATAGAGTGATCATCATTCTGAGAAGAAAAAATGAGCTGATGAATCATGACATACATCACTCTGCTGCTGCATCACATTCCTTGACAGCTCCAGGCTCATAGAATCAGGCAAGAGTGTATAATTGTGAATTGGTTGTTTATAGCCAGACATTGTAGACACTTCCTGGGCTTTCTTGGCAGCCATCACACTGAACATATCCAAAGGAGTGTGGTATTTGGTCTTGGTGACTTCATAATCCTTCTTGTACTCACGATCTGACTGTATTTTGGCCACGTTCATGTAATGAACAAGCTTAGGATCATCCTGCAGGCTCCGGTATCCAACTTGTTTGCCTTTACCTTTCTCATATGACTCCTTGTACTTGTACTAGAGACAAAAGGAGAAAAAAGCCTTAGCCACTTTGGATAGAGAAACCATATGTTGGATAGTAACTCAGTATCTTAACAACTGCAGTTCAGTCTCTAAATTCATAACAGGATTATTTAAGCCACAAAGCAAGAGGATTGCTGGATTTCTCAGCTTGTCTTGACCCCTGGTAGAGCTCAAACCTAGATATGCAACTACATAGTGCTCCTCACCAGTGCCACTGATGTACTGACTTTTTACTGGGGCTTGAAGGGAGAGGACGAGAGATAATGGATGAAAACTGGAAGAGAGGAGGTTTAGGCTGGACATTAGGAAGAAATTCTTCCCTGTGAGGGGGGTGAGACACTGGAACAGGTTGCCCAGAGAAGCTGTGGCTGCTGCATCCCTGGAAGTGTTGAAGGGCAGGTTGGATGGGGCTTGGAGCAACCTGGTCTGGTGGGAGGAGTTCCTGCCCATGCAGGGGGCTTGGAACTAGATGATCTTTAAGGCCCCTTCCCACCCAAACCAGTTGGTGATTCTATGATAATGTGTTTTACTGCCATGGACTTCTAACTCCCAGGAACATTCAGTTTCTTAATTAAAAGACTAACATAACAATATATTATTGAAAAGCCCCAAACTACCTAACAATTAGACATTGCAGTATTGGAGGGAGGCAGATTGAAGTGGGGAATGGAAGTAATATGCAGTCTTTTGCTAAAGTTAGTGCATTTATTTCTGTCCCCCAAATCTCTTTTCACATCTTGTGTCAGACAGTACATGAAGCTTTACAGTTGCCTGAAAACAGCCACGTTTCTGTACAGCTTGTGGATGCTAGAGAAGTAGAAATACAGGTCTCCAGCAATTAAGAATACAGCACAACTACATGATAAGAAAGGAACTTTCCAACAAGCTGGTGTGCACTGGAAGCACACACACCAAACAGCCCCAGCTCACCAGCACTCACACACCTTACAATGCACTTCTAAGGAACCGGGGTTTTTTGGTCATATAGACATCTGAATTCACTTGGTATTTCACAAGCATCATGAGCTTCAATTCACAGAGTTAAGTGTCTTTATACCATTATAGGTAGAGAGCAGATGGTCTACAGCATAACATGCTGCAGAAAGCTGTAAGGCAGTAAATGTATTCCACTTTATGTAAATTACACTTACATCACTTGCAATATTCCGAGAAGCTTTCGCAGCAATAATAGGAATGGCATCTGGTTTCAGATCATATCCTTTGGCAATGGTTTTTTTCCAGTCTGCTTTGTAGTTAGCCTTATAGGGAAAAAAGGGATGAGTTTGCAATGCTGTGAGTAGCAATTTTAACAGAGTTGTTTAAGCCCATATTTTTATTATACTAGATTATTATATGCAGTTTAGTCTGTGCAATTGCAAGGACAAATGTTAATCTGTACACAAACTACAGACACATTATGATAAAGAAATCTGCTGCAAAGATTCATTCCAGACAACCAGTTTAATTAATGTATCTAAAATTATTAACTCCATAAGTGTTTTTTGCAAATCTTGTGTGGAACTACTCTATCAGTGGCATTTTTGCCCTTGTTTAAGCAAACCCCTTTTTCATTTGCCTCAGCCTTTAGAAATGTTCTCCTGTTAGTTTCAAAATGGTCCTAAGTGACTGAAGAAAGCAGTCTGACCAATGGGTTGTTTTTAACAATTAGCATCTGGATAAACTAGTAGTATTTCAAGGCTGTCTGTAAGATGGGAATAAAGAAGATGTCAGCTTTTACCCAGCTCCTGGAGGCCTGATAATGCAAAAAAAATAAAATAAAAATGATCACAAAGGCAATAAAACTGATCCTATCAGTGGAGAGCTTGATGGTGTTGGGTGGATGCAAGAAGTGATGGAAATCAGGCAGGCTAGTAGCTGAACAGCAGAAAAAGGCATTTCTTCTCACTGGATGAGTTTTCCTTGAAAGCCCAGCAGCAGGAAGCAACCTACAGAGAACCTGTACTGCTTCCCTTTGCAATGTGTTTTATATAAAAGCAGGTGACAGAAGTCTCTAAGCCTACAGGAATTTGAATAGTAAGTTATGCTGGTTTTCTCATTCGGTCTATCCAAGTAGCTTGGCATAAAGCACCAAAACCTTTCTGTTCATGAGTACTCAGACACTTTAAAAATCTGCTTAACAAGCACAAAATTCATTAAGTAAAAGCTTAGCTGAATTCAGACCTTGTGCTTTTCTATATTCAATATCATAGCATGATGAAATAAAAGTGTTGGGTTTTTTTCTATTAAGTAAATGACAAATAAATGTATTATTGAAAGAACTATTAGTTATATGCTCACATCACTCAAATTGTAGGCATTGACCCGGGCTTGGATAAACTGAGGAACATCAGGATCCAGGGTGTATTTGTGTATCACTTTTTCACCTTCTTTCTTATATGCTACCTGCAAGGAAAAATAAACCAACACTTGTTGACAAATAGAAAGTGGGTAATACTAGTGTTAACTAGTAGAGAAAATGTAATAATGCTTAATTCTTACCAACAAATTGCAATGTTGCTATTTTTACAGGTTTTTAAATTTAAAGGTTTTCTAAGATGGAATATCAGGCAGTAACATGCAAATAATAAATATGGCCTAAGAAAATAAAACCACTATATTGCATTAATGATGAAAAATGTCTTACATCACTCAGCTGCTTGGTGTTGTGCTGAGCTAAAACCATTGGCAGGGAATCTGGGATGCTTGTAAACTTGATGGTGTCTGGGTGCTGACGGTATTTCTTCTCATTTAATGCATCTCCAGCCTTTTTAGCTTTTTCAACATCCAGGGAACCCAGAGGACTCCACCCAATACCCTTGAGCCAGCTGTTATACTCCTGCTTGTATGCATTCTGAAGGACAGAAAGCCAACATGAACCAAGATTTTCCCACAGAAATGTGATAATCTCATAGTCTGGCTGGTGTGTTCTGTGTTAGCAAGAAATATTTATAAATTATTGAGGGGAACAAGGGATATTTTTATGCTTCTTGATGATTTCATAAGGAAGAAAATGGACTATTGCATTTTTTGATTCATAATTCATTTCTTATAAACTGCAACATCTCTGCAGTATTTATGAACCTTCCTTTCCTTTCACCCATGTGAAAAATTTCACCAACCTTCAAGGCTCAATAACTCCCAAACTACCACATGGTGACTGTTAAACATGGTTTAATTTGTTCTGTATTTCTGCAGACTCTGTGAGACTTGGCCTTATACAAATGTTCACAGAGCAGAGGCTCAAATTTTGGGTTTCTTCCTATAGTTCCTCCTACAGCACAATATTCAGAATTGACAGAAAAATTCGTCCTACCTACAAAATATCCAGAAGGATATTCCATATAAGCATTAAGACAGGGTTAATGTGCAGTCTGAATGTCAGGATATTATGGGCAGTCTTTTTTAACACCCTTCTGTGTTCTAACTCTGACAGGAGTGACCCTTCATGGGGAACCATACAAGGTCAAACTCCAGAGCAGGCAGAGGTGCAGAGGGCAAGCATGTGTTCCCAGTCAGCCATTTGAAACTCTATCTGTAAGAAGGACTGAGAAGGTCCTAGGAGAGATCTCCTGTGCCACAGACCTCCAGAATATATTTCTAATAACATCAATAGTTACATTTTGTCTACTCCTTCCTAAATGTTAATAATAGTCCAACTACATTATCAAATCTACCTCACGTGAAGACAAAGACAACTTAGAAGAAGTCTTAAATAATAAAACAAAATCATGGTAGTTGCAAAATAAAGTTTCCTGAGGAAATGTGAAAGCAGTTCGTTTGAAGTCAATATTCTAGACATTTCCTCTCCATGGATACACCAACATCAAAATCCTGTTGAATAGAACTCACCTGGAATTTGGGACTTCTAAATGTTACCACCAGCTGCTAAAAGTTCTAACAATCTTTCCCAAGACATAAGAAAAACAGACCATTCACACAGAGTCATGGCAATTCTCATTGCATATAAATTCCTATTTCACTTTTCACAGTGGGTGGAAAATATCCATGAAAATACTTACATCACTCTGAATTTGCATCATGTTCTTTGCAAGCTCAACATCCATGGCATCTGGCAGATAGGTGTAGTTGTGGATCAGGTTTTTGTAGTGGGCATTAGAAGCTACATCCTGAGACTGTTTAGCAGCCTGGATACTGTACATGTCAGGAGGTGTGTGATAGTTAGTCTTGGTCTTCTCATAATCTTTCTTGTACTCACGCTCAGACTGAATCTTGGCTACATTCATGTAGTGAACAAGCTTAGGATCATCTTGCAGGCTTCTGAAACCAACCTGTTTTCCTCTAGCCTTTTCATATGCTTCTTTGTATTTATACTAGAAACAGAAGAAAAAGGGGTTTTATAGTTAACCTGCAAAGGCTACCCTCTGTTTTCTACAAAGAGCATCCCTCACATTTAAGTCCGTGACCAAACACTCCATTCAAACCAGACACATCTCTTTACAATTCATTGCTACCCAAAGCAGCAGTTAGTTTACTTTCAAAGTTGTGTTACCTCACTTGTACTGATCATAAAAGGGAGAGGAGTTGTAAAATACTAAGGCACTTCCATGAGGCCATCCCCAAGAATCTACTCAAAACCCAGTTGTGTTCTAGAATCTTTCATCTCTTTCATAATCAGGCCTACAGAAGGCCTGAGAGAATTCAGGGGTTCACTGCTCATGGAGCTGTCACTACTGACCACCTCCTCATGACAGCAGAGTGCAAGACAGCCTATTTATTTACAGAGAATTACACAATGAAACAGCCTTTCCCCAATGGAATTACACAAATGCATTAGTGAAACACCAGTAACAAAACAACTGTGTTAAACATGTCCACTAACATGCTAAAAAAAAAGCAATAAAGGCATTGTATTTCAGATATCCTTAATAAGCATGACTGCACATGTTTTTTTAGTAAACTCTTTTGGGTGAGTTTCTTTAGGAAGAAGGTACTTACATCACTGGCAGCCTGCCTAGCAGCCTTGGCAGCTTGGATAGGAATAGCATCAAGTTTTAGATCATATCCCTTCAATTTTAATTCTTCCAAGCCAGCTTTGTAATAGTTCTAGAAGAGAAGGTGAATTTTGAATGAACTGCTTCTAGCTCACAGAAACTTCATCTTGTGAGTTGAACCAAGACATCTGGATTCAAAACAAACTTACATCACTAATATTGTAGGCATTCACTTTAGCCTGTATAAACTGGGGCACATCTGGAGGGAGGTGGTACTTGTGAATAATTTCTTCACCTTTGGCTTTGTAGTTTATCTGCAAAGAAATATAAAGAAGGCAATTTAGCAACCCAATGTTTATAGACTGCAAATGCTTAATAACACTGAGTGACACAATCTGAAGATCTCATGTCTCCTCACTCACAAAGGCAGACTCCTGGTCCTTGCCAAGTGAATGGTATAAACTCCAGTAACTTAACTGGTGCAAAGAACACAGTAGGGAATGATGGACATGAACAAAATCACAAACACACACTCTCAAACTTGACATGAACAGCCACTTGAAAAACTAAAAAAAAATAATAATAAAATAGCCCTGATCTTCCACTGGAGCTGAACTGTGAATTCACACAGATGTTTTTGTGCTTATGGGTGCACATTCACCTGCACCCCCATTTCAGGAGTTACCTTCAGCCTGGATGACAATGTGAAGGTGGGCAGAGTGCAGAAACTGATGTGTGCTAAGTGTACTTACATCACTCAGCTGCTTGCTGTTGATCTCTGCTTGCTTCTGTACTGGAGAGTCAGTCACTTGAGTGAATTTGGTTTGATCAGGATGCTTTTTGTAGGTGTGCTGAAGGAAGAGAATAAATAGATTTGCAGAAAATGCATATAAACAGACCTATTTTGTACGACATTGCAATGTAGCATTCCTTGAGACAGCAGCTCTGGCATGGGTGCAGATACAAACACTACCATGCACAGTGCTTCCCAGGTCCCTTTTTAACATAATCAGAGAGGAAATACATTTTAAAAATAACTTCAAGGTATTCATGTAAAATACATTGAACAGGCATATAAATATTAAAATGTGCAGTATACATTATAAGATATTTTACTCATTGTATATACACTTTATTATATTATATACAAATATATATTCTAAATATTTTCCAAGTATTGATAAAATAAATAAAACTAATATTAATCAAGTAACTCAAGTACTTTTAAAGGATTAATGTAAAAATATGTTGACTTAAGCAGGTAAATACTTCATTTTTCTACTATTCCTCTAATTTTATGTTTCTACTTGTTAAAAAAAAAAAAAAGATTGTGCTATATCTGTCTTGATCACTAGATGTCACAAAAGGCTCTAAAATACAGATGAAAATGGTTTTTAAAAGTCACATATGTTGACAAGATCAAATTCAAAATCACTAAAGTTAAGAGGAATCTGTTATTTCTGCATATCTCAGAAGCAGACACTCTGCATGTACTTGACTATTTGATAATCAGAACTGTCCTGTACTTACATCTTTACACTGCTCTAACTTCTTAATAGCTTCATACTCCTGAGTTATGGTCTGAGGGAAGTAGCATTTGGTCTTATCCTCTTCATACTCTGCTTTGTAATTTTTCTAGGAATAAAATCAACATTCAGTGAGAAACCATAACAGAGCTTTCTCTGAAACTCAGGTATGATGGTGAAAACAGAATGGTTGCCACACTTACATCACTCTTCATGGCTTCAACTTTCATGCAGTGTATTTGATGGGGATCCTCAAAGCTGCCCAGATAGTGTCCTAAAATATTCTTCTGATAGGCATCTTTGTATTTCACCTGGAAAAATTATCACAAGTTGATAAGCAGAGTAATCAAGAGTGTGAGCACTGAATGACATCCCATAAACAAAGACATACATCACTAAAATTCTTCAGAGCAGCATCAGTCTGGAACTTGGGTGTGTCACAGTAATTCATTTTGTTTCCTCTTGATTGTTCATAGGCTTCTTTGTATAATTTCTGCAAAAGAAAACACAGTATATAATGTCAGAGAATGAATTGTATTTCACTGCAACTCACAACACATTAAATATGACAAATCTGTGAAATGATTACAAATAAAAGCTTTCCCAGAAGATTGAAAAACAGATGGCACATTTTTTTTCCCCCAATGATATTTCGAAAAACCTTATTTTAATGCCTCTTAGGTTGGTAAGGTAAGGCAGAAAGGTCTGACTAATGTTTTTTTAACTTCTGACAGTGAGAAATATGCCATCTCCATACAGATGAAAAGAGCAAGAAGAGAGAACTTGAGAAAGCCATTACAGTGAGTAACCAGAATAGAATATATGTAAACATGCAAAAGCACCACATATTATATTATCAGCATCAGCTGAAGTTCCTTAGAACAGTAAGGTAAGAACTGTCATCTTGTGTTCAATTTTCCACAGAGACCTAAATGAACAACATAGTAATTTAGCCATCCTCATGACATGTCACAGCTATTGTTACACTCTGCTGTGGGGATATGAGTCCTCATCTCTACTGTTCTGGTTGGTCATATCTCATGACAAATAAAAAACTAAAAATACTAAGAGATCCAAAGGAGAAGCCTTGTGAAGAAATGACAAGTTGGCTTTATTGTACATTACTGAAAATGATCCAGTGGTATTTTGACAATACTTACATCACTCAGTATATTTCCTGCAGCTTTTAGTTGCCTTAGCAGGGGGTTCTCTGTAGCAGGAAGCACGTTATAATCTGCAATGGCTTTGTTCTTTTCATAGTCTGCTCTATATTTTACCTTTCAAAAACATAAAGACAAAAAGGGTTATAAAAAGCAGTATTAAAAGCCAAACAATCACTAAGCTATACAATCTTGAAGTTGAAAATTTCTTTTTAACTCATGATTCCTGATGGCAAAGGACCACGAAAGGCACACAGATGGCAGGAATGCACAGATGATGAGCCAGGAGGTAGGGTCAGAAGACAAGTGGGAGCTCCTCAGCAGGTGTCCCCACCTCCAAGTCCATCCCCACAAACATTGTAAGCAGTTGAGATCTCAGAGTAATCACTCTCTTACAAATGAATGACATAAGGTTGCCTTTGCTGATGCATATACTGTTGCAGAAAATGCAAGAGCCAGAAAAACTCCCTGTTTGGAACAACAGGTGGGCAAGCACAACATCACTAAGAAACACTGAGCAAGGATGAATAAAAATGAAAATACTGAGCTAAAGGCACTAGCTTAAGTTGGTCCTGGTTAACTGGATTGATTTGCTTACCACAAAAACCAGACAGCACACATTACATACCTTGCTGACATTATTCGAAACTCGCTTGTTAGCTTCGTACTCTGGAGTTTCAGTCTGCATAAAGTAGATTTGGTCTTTCATGTTTTCAAAGTCTTCCTGATATTTTCTCTGTTGGGAACAGAGACAAAGAGATAACAACGTGTCAAATGCACTTACATTATAAATCAGCCCATCCACAAAGTAGATTATTAAGGAAAAGAGAAAGATAACAAATAGATCAGGCAAAATTGATCAGTATTTTCCATGTTAACACCAACCAAGGATAAAGCTGTTCCACTTTTTCTGAAGAATTCACTCACCATACTTAGATTTTCTGCATTCATTTTTGCAACTGCAACATCATAGCACGGAGTTTGACTCCACTTGCCTTTGATCTTCTTTTTGTAGTCCTCCTTATAAGCAACCTATAAGGAAATGGAAAAGTAAAATTTAGCCCCCAAGGTACAGTTCTATTTTCACTTGACGGTTTTGGTTTTAAAAGTAATATTTTTTAAGTTCCTTCACATTTTACATCTGCCTTAAAACCACTTCATCTGTTACTGTCAAAAACACCTCGAATATGGTATGGCCTGTATGCAGTTAGTTCCCCTAGAACCTTCTCTGACCAAAAAAATATGGACTAATAGATTGAATAAGTCATCTCTTGTAGAAGAGAGTTATTAATGAGAAAATCTCAGTGTAAGACAGCACTAACATGTTCCTTCAGTTCTCTTTTTCTCACTGGTCACACAATATTAGGGCATAACATTGCCTACTGGTTAAGGCAGAATTGATTGCTATTGCTGCTGAAGCTCATTACAGTAAAACTTCTAAGTATCACCTGTTCAAAGAGACAGTTCCTGTCTGTCTAATAACAAAACACCTTCTATTTTATTTGTTTCAAAGAACTATGATACTGATCCTGCTTTTTACATGTCTACACATCTTGATACCAATCTAGCTTTTAAGCTACGAAAGAATAAGGTTCCAGAAATTTTCTCTAAATTAAATACCAACTTCTTTCACTTTCCAGATGGGTTCACTACAATACTTTCCTAACCAGGAGTGAATACTGAAACTCTCTACTATTAAACAGCAGATAATTTTCAATACATAGCAACAAAATAATGCATGTCCTCTTCATGATAGCTAAATTCTGAACTGAGTTAAAATCCTATTTCTGTCTTACAAGATTGTGACTTAGTTCCAGTTACTCCAGCACAAGCTGGTCTTCCTGTATTTCACTTCACCTCCTGCACACCTCAGCTATGTTTTATTGTAAGTATACCTAAAATTTATTGACTAGGACTGGTGCCAGAGTATCTTTAAATCATGCCACACAGTTGTGGAATTTAATGTTGAATGTTACTTGTTTATTTGGTGGGAAAATCAGGATAAGGCTATCTAAGTTGCTAGACATCACCACTAATTGGGATCCATGAACTTAAGACTGCCTGGGATATGTACTTGTACAATGGTTTGACATGGAAATGAAGCTTTAAAATCTATTCTGTGCAGCTGACCCAGGCAACTTCTCAGCAAAAGGGGGTTATTCCTGGTAAGCAATTAACTTGCTCCAAAACTAGATTTATATTTACATGTAACTGTTTACGTTTAAAAGAACAGCACAGTGGATGTTGTTCACTGTTTTCTCCTGTAAATGCAGAAAGTGTAAAGAAGGAAATGAAAAAAATAAAAATAAATAAATAAAGAGGAAGTAACGTGTGTGTGGTAGAACCAGAAATATTTTGTGAAAACTAAATTCACTGACAAGAATAAAGATGTGCCTTTCACCTGAGGCTGGGCTGGGTTTTCTCTAAGCACTTGAGCAAGAACAGAGATTATTTCCACCAGTGAATATCAAAGGGGTCTTGGCTTTTGCTTAGCCTTTCTTAAAGTACTTTTTTGCCTCTCTAACTGCAGAAGGGAGGTCTCTACAGAAGCACTGCATTCTACTTACATCACTCAGCTGCCTTGTCACTTTCCTGGCTTGTTCCACATCAGGGGGATCTGGCAGAGAAGTGTATTTAGACTTTCTCTCATCGTGCCCTTTTTTATAGACCATCTGAAAACATGAAAGAAATAAACATTTTCAGTAACTGCCAACTTAAGCATCAGCATGTTTACTCTTAAGTCTGCTACCACCACCACTAGTCAAAGTAGTTCTGTCCACAGTATGAACTCTTTCAGCTGATATATTCTGGAGCCCTGCTGAGAAGCCTCTTGATAAGAGACAGGGAAAAAGAATCAGTTCCCTGGGAAAATGTTCAAGTATATTACTCTGTTGGTCCTGATAATATGGATTATTGAACTTCTGGACATCTGTACAATTCACTGAAATCTTAAAGCAAGATCTGAAATCCTTGGTTGAAGAGCTCTATATATCTAAGCATCAGCAAATAACAGCCTCAAGGATTCTTGACTTTTCTTACCACTGTTTTAGAGAGAAAGATTTGTAGACCCATGACAGTGACCTGGGCTTACAGCCAAAGCTGAGAGTTGACTGGGCATTCTGAGAGGTACTTGAGGTCTTCTTACTCATCACCTCAGAAGATCTTTAATAAACTAATTCTTGCATTCTTTCATCATCTCGCATCCAACTGCCAACAGGTTGATACACTGAACCAGCACTACCATCAGAGCTCACTATCAGTGCACACTGATGCATTTTGATTTTCTGCCCCCTTAGAAAGTCCACCATGAAGTCTATCAAGTTACCCTGTAACAGTGACCCAGCTGTCAGTCAGGCTTGGATACTCACATCACTCAGAGTCTTTTGAGCCTGTGCCACCCTTCTGAGCTCTGGACTGTCATTGTATGGATAGAATAGTGATTTGTCTGCTTCCCAGTCTTCAGTATAAAGTTTCTAAAAATCAGAAAAATACCAGAATACTCAATATTAATTCAGCTCTGACTTGGAATGCTTCTTGCACTTCAGCTGCCTAGATCTTTGATGATTTTTTTTCCTTACCTTACTGAACATTGCTGTGTTTTTGATTGCATTCACAAGCTCAGGAGCATCAGGGGGAAGCAAGTACTTGTCCTTATTCTCTTCCCAGTTCTGTTTATATAGTACCTGGAAAGAAAGATCAGCATGTTGGTTACTCTATCATTAGAAAAATATCTACTTTTGGGAATAAACTACCTGCTCTATTTAATTTTTTTTTTTTAAAAAAAGGGGAGTCCCAAACTAGTGACATTGAAGACATCAGTTGGGAACTTTTCAGATCATATTTATACCTGACTTATCAACTTCTCTGCTATTGCTCCCTGTGCTTCTAAACTGTTCTATAAACATCACTTTATTGCCCCGAGCGCAAAACATTATTCCTATGCAGAACCTCATAATCCACTAATGTTCACAGCCCTTCCAGAATGACAGAACTTGCTCACCTTGCTCACTTGCTGTGACACCTTTTTTGCATGTTCTATGTCCTTGGCCTTTTCATCAACATGGCAAATAGTTCTGGCAACTTCACCAGCCATGCGGTATTTAACCTGCATCAATGCACACAAAACATTTATTCTTCCAGCAAAACCTGATGGATTTTTTAAAAGCAGAATATTGACATTTTGACACTTAATATTGTAAATGAAAAACCTGAATTGAGTAAAGCTTTTAGGACTAGTTGTTCCTTAGAAACAAAGCCTACAGAAACAAATCCATGTTGTTCACTAGTTGGGAGATAAATGCAATGAATCCAAGTGAGAGATAGTGCCCTTCTGCACTCACAAAGCTCTTCCACTTCCATACATTGTTCCTGTATAATGAGCTCAAGAGATTCCCCGTGCTATGCAGTGTATCTCAGCTTCACAGCCCATTCCCATGTAAACACTGGCTGCTGTGCCAAAAGTAAGGTAGTCACATCACCATGGCAAACCAGCAGCTTGGGCACAAAACCTCCCTGCTGTGGTTAGATCACAGGGTATGCAGCACATTCCTTGGCAGATTCTGTCAGGAGTGGAGTAGAATGAAATGCACACTCTTCTGCTCAACACCAGTTAGGTGAGGTGACCACCCTCCCAGCTTTGGGGCTTCCCATTCCTAGGGACTCAATTCTTCCTATTTACTGTATGAAGAATTAAGCCTTTCCATGTGGATTTCGGTTTCCCACACTATGAGCTGTATTGTGGAAAGACAGCCTAGAGCTGCTTAAAAGAAAGAGGGGAGGATGAGATATATATGTGTGTGTGTGTGTGTGTGTGTGTGTGTGTGTATTGTTCTTGTGACAGTTGCTACCTACCTCACTGAGCTGGTCTTGCACTTTCTTGATTCTCCGGATTTCTGGGGTATCAATTGTGGAAGCATAAGGCTTTCCTTTCTCTTTTCTAAATTTTTCTTTGTATTTGTTCTGAAATAAAATTATGACAAATCTAATTAAGACACACCTAAGATCTGGCAGAAATGAATGTGGCAACTATTGATTTATTTGCCTGGTTAGTATAGGAATTTGGGGCAGATTATTCCATAATACAAATGAACATTACTCAATTACGTTTGCCGAATGAAGTTGATTTTAGATTTCTTCCATTTCACATAATAAAAAATAAACCCATTTCTAACTTTAACCTGGTTTAGATAACCTTTAATTGAATATATTCTCCTTAAGAGCTTTGTATTGATAAATTTACAGTTATTTGTATCAGTGTCCAAAGATAAGGACAATCTGTGGCAGGAGATGTACGATTTCAAATGGTCCTTTAACAGTGACTTTAATGTACATTATAATTTAGGAACATGGATCTGATAGCATCTACATCTGTGTAGAACAGTCATTTTCCACTTTTCACAACAAAATAGAGTACAGGTCTTCTAGAGTTAAGCAGGAAAGGGGGCAGTGATTGGCTAGTTCAGAGAAACAAATAATACTGACACATATGAAGTCCAGGAGAAAAACTAGTTTGAAAGGTTACACTAACACGTATTAAATATTTTTAAAGTTGGTGTTTCTCAAGGAGTAAAAGGCATGGGACAATTTACCTCACTGAACAGATCCTTCATTTTATTACTATGTTCCAGATAAGGTGTCAAGAACTTCGACGGGTCCACTTTTGTCCGTATTGTCCTCTTTCTGACTGGGGTTGCTCCATCCTCAGCAGGTTTTTCATGCTCAACAGTATATGTGGTGGTTCTAGGACCTGTGAAGTCTTGACTAACTGTCTCAGTGATCTCAGTGATTACCTGGGAATAGAGAAAGAAATAATTGTTTGCTTTGTAACTAAATAGATCTTCATTTTACAGTGAGCTTTTTTTCTCCTCCCCTATCTAGTAAAAGGACAAGCACCTGCAGGGCAGAAAAATCAGTGGCACTTCTCCTATGAAACATCACCCAGATGGAAGAGTGGGGTCCCTGTTCCCTGTATTCTACACATGTAACTTCCCCTGGCATCAGAGAGGTTCTCAGGTGGGACCACCAGATCTAATACCAAACTACAGAAATGTTCCCAGTGCTGAAGTTGTGTTGAAGACACAAGTCACACAGCCAGGGCTCCTCATGATGTCACTGAAAGTTGTGAAAGGCTGAAGGTGCACAGAAGCATTCAAAAAAATGATGGAAAAAAGGAAGGCAACAGACACAGCAGAGAGACAAGACCAAGTCTTTGGGATCCTGCAATAAGGAGATGATGCACCAGCTGGCTGAACAAATACTTAGAATCCACCTTTTCTAGTACACTCCATTTTCTCATAGCCAGATTACAATCATGGCAAAGATATGGCTGAGACACTTGTATAATCAATGGAGGAAGCATCCACTGCAAATAAGCCCTTAATTAATGTAAATTGTTTACTTACTTGTTTATCAACATATCTATGCTGTAAAAAATCATCTTAATAGCAAGATTCTAATTAAAACTATCTTAAAATAATCATTACAACTTCAAAGTGTGCTCCACCTGAATAATTCATAGAATCATATAATATGCTGAGTTGGAAGGGACTCACCAGGATCACTGAGCCCAATTCCTGTCCCTGTCCAGGGCACCCCAAGAATCACACCATGTCCCTCAAAGCATCTCAAGTAGATTTCAAAACCCAACCAAACAAAACCATCTTTAAAAAAGAGTGCATGGAGCTCAGATTTCTGATAGCTATTTGCATTACTGTGAGACAGACCAGAAAATGAACCAAGCATTAAACCAAGAAGTATACAAAACTCGAACTACAAAAAGTTTTGTTTCCTATGTGAACATTCCCTGCATTCCTTTTTTTTCATTAGCTACTTCAGCACCAACACGAGTGTCTCTCTTACAACACTTTTCAAGTATTCAAGTGTTTGTCTAAGTTTCAGCACTGAAATCCCTGGAGAGCACCTGTCTGTGTGAACACTGGGAAAAGCACTACCTGCTGCTGGGTTTCCCACAAAGCAGTGAAGATATGTGCTTTTATTAATGCATGATGCAGGAATTAGATGCACGTAAACACCACGAGCAACATCCCAGGGACCTTTACCTCATGTGGTTCACCCTCCTCAATAACTGTTTCTTCTATGTAGTACTAAAAAAGAGAGAGAGAAAAAAAAAATCATTGTTAGGCCAGATCACACAGAACAGCAAATTGTAGCCTCTCTTAAGTGTTTTTAAAACACAATTCTGAAGAAATAGGACTTCTAGTTCATAAGTACCTATTTACATTTACATGCTTGGTAATTACAGAGTCACAGAATCTTGATTTTGAACATCTGTTAATTTTCTGCATTAATGATTGGATTTCTTTCCATATAGTTCTCAATCATGCAAGGAGTTAATGAAGGATCATTATTTAATTTTACCCACAAAAGTGAAGACAATGATGACCAACCTAAAGGAAACAATCAGCATTTTTTTAAAAGTGGGATATTTTCAAGTGGTTGGTAGTACACTGAGAGGACTATAGTAGGTTTCTCTCTCTAAGGTTTCCCTCAGAGTTTTTCCTACCTATAGATCCCTGAAGGACACCAGTAATGATGGGCTAACATCTGGACTTTGCAGTACTGATCACTGGTCTCCCCTTGTTCATAGCAGCAGTGAAGTATTGACAATAAGCAGTGCGTTTGATCAGCCATTATTTGCTCTTGATAAACCAATTTTCACAATCCTCATGACCTTCATGACTTTAGAAACAGGTTCTGAAAGGATTTGTTCCATAAGTGTCTCAAGGACTGAAGCAAGGTTGACCAGCCTGTAGCTCCCTGGATCTTCTTTCTTGCCTTTCTTGAAGACGGATATGACATCTGACTTTTTCTAGTCAGGAGCTCCCTGTTCATTCTAACCAGCATTCTGCTGTGTTTGACTTCTGCACATCAGACTGAACCATTGGTGTGCTCTGAGGAGATTGTTCTTGGGGATCACCCAGAATCCCTGAGCACCTCTGACCTCCTTTCTCATGGGATCTTCCCAAGGAGGAACAGACCCAAATCTGCTCTCCAGAACTCTGTGATTGTAACTCTGTTTATCTTACTCACTCCTCAACTCAACAGTCTCGTAGTTGCTGCAGTCATGGCTGCCATTGACCTTTACATCTTCCACCAGTTCTTTCTTGTTTAAGAGAAGCATCTGCAGCAGAGGATCTCTCCTGGTTACTTCATCAATAGATGGCATGAAGAAATTTGCCTTCAATAGTCTCCAGAAACCTCCTAGGTCATTTGTTCCCAGCCATAGGCCCTTCCAGCAGAATCTGAGGTTGTTGAAGCCATCAATGAGCACAAGGACTGTGCATCCTCCTGCTGCTTAAAGAAGCTTCCAGAGTGCTACATCTACTCTGAAGTGGCAGACTGGGAGGTGGAGCATAAACCTTCCTGCTGTTGTTGGAAACCAACTTCCTCATGGGGAAGGGGCTGGAGCACAAGTGTGAGCAGGAGCAGCTGAGGGAGCTGGGGGTGTCCAGCCTGGAGACAAGGAGCTGAGGGGAGACCTGCTGGCTCTGCAGCTGCTGAGAGGAGGTTGGAGCCAGGGGGGTCGGGCTCTGCTCCCCAGGAACAAGGAGTGGGACAAGGAAATGGCCTCAGGTTGTGCCAGGGAAGGTGGAGGTTGGATCTTGGGAATAATTTCTTCATGGAAAGGGCTGTCAGGCCCAGGCTGCCCAGGGCAGGGGGGCAGTCCCCATCCCTGAAGGGGTTTCCAAGCCCTGCAGATGCGGAGCCTGCTGGAGGGGCAGCAAGGCCCACGTCCCTGCCTGCAGAGCCTCCTGGACACTGCTCCCTGGCCAGCAGCTCTCTGTTCCTCACAGGGCTGGAGCCGGGGGTGCCTGAGGCAGCTCTGGGCAGAGCCCCTGGGCCCCTCTGAGGAGCCTGGGCACACAGCGAGCGCTGAGCACCCCTCTCCTGCGTGGCTGGGCACAGCTCTGCTCCCCTGGCAACCTGGGGCGCCGGGAGACGGGCCAGAGGAGATGGTGCGAGGGCTGGAGCAGCTCTGGGGGCAGGCTGGGAGAGCTGGGGTGTTCAGCCTGGAGAAGAGAAGGCTCCAGGGAGACCTTAGAGCACCTTCCAGTGCCTGAAGGGGCTCCAGGAAAGCTGGGGAGGGGCTTGGGACAAGGGCAGGGAGGGAGAGGACAAGGGGGAATGAATGAAAACTGGAAGAGGGAGATTTAAGTGAGACATGAGGAGGAAATTCTGTGCTGTGAGGGTGGTGAGAGCCTGGCCCAGGCTGGCCAGGGAAGCTGTGGCTGCCCCATCCCTGGCAGTGTTGAAGGGCAGGTTGGATGGGGCTTGGAGCAGCCTGGGCTGGTGGGAGGTGTCCCTGCCCATGCAGGGGTTGGGACTGGATGAGCTTTAAGTTCCTCCCAACCCACCCCGGCTGCGGGTGAAATGGCCGCCGGGCGATGGCGCTGCCATGAAAGATGTTGCTCAGGCCGTTTATACCAAACAGAGGGTATTTTACTCAAAAAGGTGCCTCGCTTGGCACTGAATTCCAAAAAAAAAGGAGAAAATACAACGTGCGATTTTTATCTTTGAAAGCCTCCTCAGCAGTGATTTCCTCAGGGTCAGACGCTCAGGCCGCGGGGACAGAAATCCCTCTGCACCAGGCCCTGAACAAGTTCTGGATACAACTTAAGCCCCTTTCCCAATCTTGCTCCTCAAAGTTAGGTTCACATCTCACGTTGGGCTGTTCTGGGGCACTTTCTGCTCACCGGCCCTATAAGGTGTCTGACCCACCTTCCATAAAGCCTTGACTAACTCAGCAGCAAAGATTTAGGTCATTAACTGTGTGTAGGGGTTTTCTTTTTGCACATCTCAAGTGTCCCACACAGGCTACTAACTGTAGAGAAAGAGTAAAATACGATCTTGAAATCCTTGGTGTTTTCTCAGCCACTCGTTACTCAGCAATAATTTCCCACTCTTTCAGAAGATGAGTGTCTGACAGAATTCTTACAGCTTTATAATTAGTGATTCATACAGAAGTGGAATGCTAGTTATGAAAATTCTAAAAAGGCTTAAGCTGGTTTAAAACTGTAGCAGATCCTATTTTTTCCTGTTTTGTTTAACCTCTCAGTGTGAATATCTCAAGGGAAGCTGTGAAAGCAGCAGCATCTTGGTCTGTCCTTGGGATGTGGTTACAGGAAGTGAAAATTAAAAGCAAAGAATGAAACAGAGACATATGGGCAAAAAAGCCCAATGTAGCAAAATTCCATCAGCAACAAATAAACATTGACAGCAAATAAATATACATTTTGTTTTCCAAGAGCATGTAGTCCTCAAGAAGTGCTAGAGGCAACTAGGAGTAACATGGCAATAGGAAACAGTGAAGAACTGGTGTCTGTTTAATTTGGTGATGCACTGTCTTTGAAATGAAAACAAACTTTGTGAAAGGTAGCACTTACTTTCCAAAACACATGTAACCAATTCAAGTGAAATCTACAAAGCCAGCAGCCAGGACTAGGTGCTACAAGACTGCCTGAAACCAACAGCCCATTGAACACAGTGTGGAGATAAAGAGTTGTGGGGAGTCTACGTTTGTACTGTCTCCTTCTCCTCCTCAAACACTGAGAAGTGTGCTTATATATTGCACTTCTATATTGCAGAATGCATTATTTAACTTCAGAATAGCAGTAATGCAAGAGGTAAGACCACACTGCTCATTGCCCTCATACCCAGTTTCAATAGCAAAGTCATGGTCGAGCCCCATTGAAATAATAATAATAATAATATCAAACTGTAGGTTTTCCAGTTCCTGGGGATTCTGTTCATCCAATTGCTGAGACTACATAATTAGGCATATAACTGTAAGGTTAAATGACCTGTCAGCAAATTAATCTTTGATGCAGCTCCACGGACATCTACAGCTCTAGATCTGGCCCCGTCTCTGCAGCTTCTGAGGGTAAATTGGTTCACAGTGCCTTGGTGGCACAAAACTGCTGCATTTCTGAGTTGCAGTGGGCACAGGGGCGAGGCTGGAAAGTGGCTTCCAAAGCCCTCCTCTCTAGCACGGATTGGATGTCAGAGGGCAAGCCAGGAAGGAAAAGAGATGGCCCACTGCATCTATAATTATGCAGAAGAGTAATCACAAAGCCTTGCGAAGGGGGCGTGGGGTGGTTACAATCCCTGCTTAAACACAGAAACTATTATAGGAACCAGGGAGACTTTTGTTGTTGTTGATTTAATAGATATCTAATCAAACCCTAATTTGCAGAGAGCAAACAGCAAGCAACCACTGATGCTGACGAGCAAAACTCATTAAAGTGATTAATATACTCATTCACAAGGCAGGAAACAAGTCTTTCTACTCTCAGGTTTTCCTCTTACCTCCACAACTTCCTCATATTCTTCTTCCTCCATTTTGAGGGTATTCTTCTGCCTCTCCCCTGCTCACTGGTCATGCAGCAGATGAAAGTGTGAAAGTACAGTATTAGCTCAAGACTGAAAGTACCATGAAAACCTACTAAATAAGTTCCTAGAGCACCTGGCTTCTGCTAGTAACTAGTCAGATTATGACCAGGTTGTTGGCTAATCAGTGAAAGAACCTGAAAAAACAGAGAGAACTACAGCTGGGATCAGGCACTACTTTGTTTCTGACTACTATGGGAAAGCATTGCATTAAGTTTCATTTTTTAAATTAAAACAAGATTGAAGAACTTTCTCGGTGTTTCTATACTATTTCATTACATTATTCAAGCTCCTGGTATAATGGGAGCTGTATCTGTATTATTCTGCTGTATTCATTCATCAGTAATAAAACACAGAAAGTATGAAAAGTTTGTAAATATTTTTTGAATGGCCTCATGTTAATGAGGCAATTCTTGTATTCCCAGTATTCACCTACATAGATGCTGTGGGATTTATGTAATTTTTTTAAGCTCTTGTGGCTTTTTTGTTTTCCTCTCTATTTCTTCAGACCTGGAAAATATGAAAATCCACAAGGCTGGCTGGGTTACAAAGTACAGATTATTGTCAAAACCTTTAAATGAATTAATTAGCACAGTGATTTTGCTATGAGGCAAAGCCACAATTTTCCACCAGAGACTGCAGCCTTGTTGCTAATGTTGGTAGGGGATGAGGCTTTGGAACAGCTGCTCTTGAGTCCAAAGATATTTGCCATGTAAGCTAATACTGCCAAATGACAGGGTGGTTTTGTTTAGCTGGCTACCCTGCAATTCCTTCTGAGGCAAGTGAAGTCTAGTAATGCAGGTTAAATATAGGAACAGCCAATACTGTCCCTTTTTAGTTCCAATGGGTTGAAAAAAATTTAAATAAAAATTAAAAATAAAAATTAATTTGTTAAAGCAGAATGTTAACTATTACAATAAAGAAGAACTCAATTAATAAACTGCATGTTGTGTGGAAAAATGAGGCCAATGAATAAACCCAAGAAGGAAGAATTGCATGTAAGGACAATTCTATGCAAACTGTCACTACTGAAACCTTCAGTTACTCCTCCAAAACTGTTCCAGGCCCTTTCCTCTTTATTGAAGTTTGCAGCTCATCATCATCCAGCCAGAAAATCTGCCTTCCACGGGCAAGGCACAACAACTGCTCCCAGAAAAACTACAGAACCAGGATACAGCTCAAGATCCCACTCCAAGGAAAAGAAGTCAGATGCAATTAAAATGGTCTTACCAGCAACATCTAGCAAATATCCTTAGGAGCAAAGCCTCTCCAGTCTTCCCTCCTGAGCAGCACAGGGCAAGAGAGCCTGGGGCATCAGCTCCTCGTTACGTATGTGGCCAAGGCAGCCAATCTGGCTCCTGCCTGCTCGAGTTTCAGCCCTAAATATACTCGGTGACCCCGGGGGGAGGCCACCTGTTCCCAGCGACGTGAAGGAAAAGGGAGCCGGGCACTTCTGGGCTCCCCAGGAAACCCAAAACACACCACAGCTTGACTGAGCTTCACCAGGTCTCTGCTGAAAAGGGATCCCTAGGTGAATCCCAAGGGAGCGACCAAGTGGGAAAAAACAGGCACATGTTCTCCTTTCAGAGCTGCTGCTGATGATAATAATAATAATAATGGGTTTGAATTGACAGAGACAATTTCATTCCTATATGGTACCTGAGTCAAAACTGCCCAAATCCAAGAATCTCTAAACTTCAGAGAATGGAGAGAGGAGTCTGGACTGCAAACTAAATTTTCAGTGTGAGTCTCTCTTTGATTTCATCCCTTAAGCACTACCTGAAGTGCTTTATCAGTTTACCTTGATGCAAATCAGTTGTCAATAGTTTCATCACTTCTAATGAAATGCTGAACACATGGACCTGGGAACATGTAAAAACTGACAAAAACTTGCAGGGAACCAGATGAACAGCCAATATGCCTGGTGAAGTGAGACCAAGAATACAGCATAAAGAGATGGAAGCATCAGGGGAGCATTTCTAATGCACGGAGAATTTTGGAAGGTCAGGAATGAGATGATGTGTGAATCATGGTGATGATAACAGCAGTGACCTCTTAGGTCATGAGTTGACTAGACCTGATAGGATTGGCTTGAATTCTTCAAGGACGTGCATTCAAAACTCAGTATTAGGGATGGTCTCTTTTCATATACCATATCACATCATTTGATCAGTTGATCAAGGAGCTCTTGAGAGACACCTTCTTGTTCCTTAACTCCTTCCAGAAGTTAGTATTTGCAACCAGATGAAATATCATATCTCGTTCAGTACTGCCAAGTATTTTATAGCCTGCACTGAGCTGTAGCTCATTCCCTCCCTCCTTTAGACAAGCTATATGCTTTCAATCACTTCACATTTTGCTTCACTAGGCAATCCTTCCCCTCTTCATCTTATTTTTGTTTACTTAAGAGTCCTTCAGTGTCTTAACATCTTTTGAAGATGTCCAGAAATGAATATAGCACGTTGATGGAGCAATGTCAGCTCAACCTTCTGCTCCCTGACCCAGATCCTGTGTGTGTGCATTCCAGAAATAATGCAGAGTAATTTTCTTCCAAAGTGCTGCTTTGCAGTTGATGAGGTGCACATTGTGACATCTATGTAATTGATGACAAACATTTACGTAGCAAAGGGCCAATTTTAAAGTTGTTTTTTAAATAAGTATCTAAATCATTATTGTTTCCAACTCAAATCTCTGTTGATGCCCAAATTAGCACCATGGTTGGTGACTCACCCTCCCCCTTCTTGGTTCTTTTCTACAAGTCTGGGTTCCTGGCCTCTTTTCCAGACTTACCACTTGTACTTTACATTGCAGTTCCCATGCAAGGCATGTCCTCATAGTCACTGCTACAATATTGGGTATTATTATGCCTCATTCCAATCACCTGGTTTAGATCAGGTTTGTATTCCTCTCTCCTGATGGTTATCCTGATAAAATTAGCCAGCATTTTCCAATGGGATGCAATTTTCTGTGCAATACTCTTGCAAGTTCCTGCAAACAGTCTCTCCCACAGCAATATACTCTCCAACTCCCAGCTTACTAGAACATCACCTTCAGGTTCCTGCACAGTGCTGCTCAACAGCTCTTATTGAGAAAGACACTAAATGAGGCCAAAATGACCTGCAGGATGCAAGTTCCACTCCTGCTGCTGAAATGCAGCTGCCTTTGGTGTGAAACATGGCAGATCTTTAGCAGCAGGCAGGCCAGGGCTTGAAAGGAAGCATGGAATCATCCATCAGAATTACAGAAGAGGTTACAGAACCAAAATTGTTAGTGCTGGAAAGAACATAAGATTTGTTTTCTGGCACCAGAACATGGAGAGAGGAGGAGAGAGCTCTTAGGCCACCTGCAGCCACCAGCAAACCTTTCAATCCTTACCTTTGCTTCTTTGCTCCTTCATCTCCAGATCTCAGGACACAACTCTCATAAAACTATCCCTACTGGCTTCATTTTTGTTGAAAAATTAAAAAGACCCACTATGTTTTCTGTGATTTCTGGTCACATCTGGCTTTTATTGGTGAAAATTTAGAGTTCACTTGCTGAAGTGCCTTTATCCACATACAACACAGACCAATACAAGGATCTCTCCACACCTGCCTATATATATATATAAGTTGTTATTTATATATTTATATATAATACCTGAAGAGATGCACACGTATCTTCACATACATCTATACTTTGGTCTTCACTGTTGAAATAAACTACTATGCTCATTGTTATGTTTTATATCATTCACTTCTCAGGACATTTAATATTCATATTGAAACCCCAGGAGTTACTGGATGCTGAAGTAGAACATGCATGAGGTTCATAGAATCCTAATGGTTCATACTCCTTTAATATTGTCTGAACTGCTTTATTGTGAAAATTAGTGTCTGTGACCTGGATTTCAAGTCACTGCTGGAATATTCTGAGAACGTCAGCTGGACTCTCTGGGGGACAAATGATTCAAAGACGTGAGGACAATTCTGCTGTAGGTGACAGTCTGGCAGCTCTGGTGCAGGTTAGCACCTCAGAGCAGGATGGTTTAGCCACAGTACATCAATGAGCATCTGCTCTGCAGCTTGGAACCAAGCAGGCTGGATGGTGCAGGATGACTAAGGCAGAGGAAGAGGCTGTTTTGCATTTAAATGGCCCGAAATTTTAAAGCAGAAAATATTTTCTAGTTAGTCCTTAACTTTTTTTAACTATGAAGTCCCACCAGTCCTACTTATCAAACAGCAACCTCTTGGGGCAGGAGGAAAGGAAATAACAGGGATTTCTTTAGAAGGCATATAATACAAGAGCCATGAAGCAGGTGCTCACTCTCCTAACCCACCCAGCATTCACATACAACAACTCACTGATTGTTTTTTTTTCAGTAACTCCATTTCATTTGTTTTGGCTGCCAGCCTTCCAGCTATGATAAACAGCAAGCTAATCCTGGAGCCAGATCCACACAGAGGATCAGTCTGTTAGCCCCATGGGGCAGCCACACTGTGACCCCCTCACCCCCACAGAACTCTTAGAGAAATCCTGGTGATTTCTGTGACCTCCCTGCTGGTCCGTGACATCTGTGAACTGTCTTGATCTTTCAGTCCCTTGTACTTCTTTCACAGTGCATCACTCTCTCCATCCCAAGGTAAAGTTTGGGAGCATTTTAATCAGCCAAAGCCAGATTGCTCATCAAGAAACCCAGGCAGCACATTTCACTGAGCTGCAAGCCTGCAATTACTTCCTGGTGAAAATGACTTAAAGACTCAAGAGACTTTTTATCCATCCTTGCCTCCCTTTGGCTGAATATCACACAGGCTTCTCTGTGTCTTGCCCTTTGCATGGATAAACTGACTGACATCATGGGCACTATATTTAACCTCCTGAGGTAATCAGTAGACCATCCAGACTTAACAAGCATTGTATCATTGAAAAAGGACATATTTTAATACGTATTTGTGTCATTGTGTCTATTTTTA